TGATAGCAGAGGGGGAGCTACTCTGTGAGCTGCAAACAGAAAGCCTGCGGAAGACCAAAGCTGTCATGTGAATATAGCCCTGGAAGAAAGCCAGGAAAAACAGATTTTGTTTCAGAATTATATCAATGGCATACTGAATGTGGAAAACCCAGACATCCTCTTTCTCATTCTAGTTGCTTTCACAGAAACAAGACTGTGCACATCCTTAGTAAATAAGCAAACTTGCACCAAGAAATACTGGATTTGTGCAGTCAACTTTTTACAGGCACAGAAATAGCCCACCAAAGCTGATTATTCAGACCAAGAGGCAAGGGTATTTTCCACAACAGCAGCACAGCTGCCATTTAACACAAAAGAATGAGTTGCTTTTACTGAGGGAAGTGCTGACAGTGTCCCACAAGAGCAGACGTAACTCTCCCCTGTGGACCTTTGCTGGTGGAAAGAGAAGGGGTTTCCGGGTGCCAGGAGAAGGTGTTTGACAAGCCGAGTGCTGCTGGCTCAAGTTCACATAGGGAAGTGCTGGCAGAAGCCTTCTGATCCAGGCATGGAAACCTTTCTCCTTCTGCCCATTTCTGTTTATTTTTCATTTTGATATTTGGATTGGTTTTTCACCTAGGCTCTACATCTGTTTCCACCAGGGATCCAAAGCCTATAGGGCTGGAGTGTACAAATTTTTTATATTAACAGAACACCTTGAACAATATAACCCTGCCTGTAGCTGGAGTTAAAACATTAAATACAAATGAAAAAATAAATAATTGCAGCTTGACCAACAGGTACTTCTTATTGAAACGTCCCAGAAACAGGCTTTTAGTAGAAGAGGGTACTGCAAAGCCAAACTGGTGTGGTTAGTGTAGTGAAATCACTTTAGGTAGGTAATGGCAAACCTCGAGCCTGGGGTGCTACCTGCACCACAATTAAGGAGAGGAATATGGGCTGTATTAGCCTGGAATAGGTACAAAATGTTTGTATATATAGTCGTGAGTTATGCAAGCTGCAGAGAAAGCATGTGGGAGGTGCATGAGAGATCAGGAGAGAAACTGAGCTGCTAGCCCATCATTGCAAACTGCTTTAAAATAACCTCCCTTCTTCACATCAAGCTGTCTGTTCAGTGTCACCATAGTGATGCTGCTCACCGGCCACCCAAATCTGCCTCGCAGCTTCCTTCAGGAGTCCCACTGCCGAGAAGCCGTTGCTCCTGGAAGCATCCCTCCCTCACAGCCCGAAGGGGAAACCTCCCCTGACAAATCAGCCTTCGCATTCATGCCTCCGCTCACCTACCCGTGCACAGCACCCTTGTTCCTCTGCAGGACACTGTGATGCCACGACATGGGCAGTGGTGCACAGGCTACCGAGCCTGTAGAAGGAGAGAAGCACATTTACTACCCAAAGCTGTGTTCTTGATAACTGTCTCTCATTTATAAATAAAGGATTTGACCATGTGAGATAGGATGATCATGTTTTCCTGGAAAGCAGGACTCTGCATGCATGGTGTGTCCCTAGAGTTTCAAAGCCTCTATGAAAAGCTCAGTTTCACAGGAATTGTCAAGTGGAGAGGCTAGGATGATTGGTATGGGTGCCCACTCCCCCACCCATGGGCACCCCTTACCAAGCAGCGTGTCCCCAGGTAGAGTAGGATCATACAGGTTCCCACCATATCCTCCCTTCATATCCCTGGACATCTTCAGATCGGTGCTCTCAGCACAAAGCAGCAAGGAAGAAGCAGAGAAATGGTCATGCCTATTCCCAATCCTCACCTTCGCCAATTACTCCTTGACTTCTGCTGGGAATGATCCTCTGCTGTGCCATGACTGCTTTTGGTTCCCCTCAGCAGGCCCACTGTAACGAGATTAAGTTACCAAATATAGAAATCTTTTGCATTCTTTGCAGGGAAAATCAGTTCTCTCTATAGCATCATTCATTTCACATATACGCTTTTTACGTGCAATGTTGAAATATTTTTCCGTACCTTTCTAGCCTTTATTGCTGACATATAAGAGACACATAGATCCCTGAGATACAGGTGTGATACAACGTGGAGGGTGAAGCCATTTGCAGAAACCAGAGGCTATGAAGGAGTCAGGGGGATGAGAACAGCCTCTTTGCCGTTCAGGGTAAATCCACTGTAGCTCTAGGCATGTCCCAGGTAGGTTTTAGATAGAGGACCCCATTACAAGCCTTTTCTTCAGCAAAATTAGTTGTTCTTGGTAGTGTTGAACAGCTGTTGAAAACAGGCTGGTTTAAATATGACCTTATAAAAGATTCACATAAAAGCTAGAAGGAGCAATGGGAAACAAGGGCAGTTTATTGTTAGTTATCAGAGGAGCACTGGAAAAGATCAAAGTTTGATTCTTGGCTGTGCTGATGACCTTAGGTAAATCATTCAGGATTAGGCTTGGAAGAGAGACCAGCTTGCTCAGGAACTTTTTCAGACTCAGTGCCTCAGTGGGAACCAGGGGGTGGAGGGCATGGCTGAAAGCATGTTCTTCAGTTCCTGAAGGGAAGCAGAGACCTTTTCAAAGATTGATAGTGATTGTGAGGGCTGAGCAAATCAAAATCTGAACTTAGACTCTTCTGAGAACCTCATTTCATCGGTCTGTGCCTCTTTTTGCCCAAGTGTAAAACGGGGGAAATAAATATTTTACCAGTGTTGTAACGCTAAATGTATGAATATTTGGTGAGATGCAGTGGTGACAAAAGCTACAGAAGTAAATAGGATGGACATTGCATTAAAAAAAAAAAATCCCAAGTCCTGTTTTAATCCAAAAAGTGGATTAGTGATGAGAACAATGGAAGTTGGTCTAACTGAATTATTAACCACACAACCATTTATGTGACAAATGTCACCTTTTTGCCTGATAATTATTAGCAATGGGATAGAATCACCATTTGATATGCCCTGTATACACTTACAGTATTTGGTAAATGGTAGTATTAAGTCTGACACAGAAAGTACTGCTGAATTCAGGTACTTCATTACTCCTCCTAACATTACCAGAAAATATATTTTCTGGACCTGCGTAGTAAACTTCATGTGATCAGCAAACTAGCTTACTTATAGATCACTGAGAGATGATGAAGCTTGTTTTCCATTGAAATATCACTTATTTCTGAATGGAAAATTCTGATGAGACAGCCTGCAGCTCAGACTACATGCACGTTACTAGGATTGCAGAGAAAAACCTTTAGCAGTGCATCTGACACATTACTGATTTATGAGAGAACAATGTTGGACTAAATATGAATAAAAATCTATCCTTTCACACAATTTGGTACAGCAACATTGAAATTGTAGCAGGATAAACAGCTGCCTTGCAATAAGCATGCTCATCCTTCATTCAGTGTTAAAACTTAATTATTTCTTATTCCTATTTCTTTGTGTTAAGTGTTTCTAAATTATAAATAACCCTGCAACTCCAATAATAATATATAGTCTGTTAAGGAAAAAGTAAGTACACGAATGAATTATTAATGTGATCTATTTAAATATTACCACACTTGATTTATCTGAGGATTTGGAGATCAAGACAGCCACTGTCATATTTTAAGAGATATTGACAAGGAGCCTATGGACAAATCAGGTATCTATGTTGCATAAATAGACTTTGTGTATGTGTATTTAGTTACAGAATTGTTACAACATGATCTTTAGTCTAAGGCTTGATTTTTCTCCTTTTAAGGTCATTGGCAAACTGTCTTGACCTTACTGAGAATAAAATAATGTCCTAAGTACATACATTACTCTGTTCTCCCCTTGATCTGAGCACTGAAGTGTGTTTAACATTAAAGAGAGCAAGTCCAGCCGTAAGCATTTTCATGCTCTAAGCAAGCATCAAGTACGAGACTCCTCCTTGTCATGTAGCTTCTTTTTCTCTTTCATCTATTTATTTATTTATTTAACTTAATTTGCTTGCAAGACAATATTTTTGTGCCTTAAGGAGGGATGATTTTTTGATTAAGGCATTTGATGGAGAGCCAGGTTCAATTTCCAGACCCTCCACACAGTAACTAGCCTTGGTAGGTCACTTAGTAAAGTGCCTTGCAGAACTTCAGTGCTAATAACTAAATGGACCATGGACCATTCTCTGTTGGTGATGCCAAGCAGCATGAAAAGGCCAAAACACTGTGATCACATCAAAACTGTTTATTGGAAATGATCTCTGGTCCATGCACTGTTTAGAAGAGCACTAGCTGACCTGAGTCAAAACCATCCCAGGGAACACATTAACAGTTAAATGGTATGACATAGACTTGATTGTTTTTCTATTACAGACACAGCCTTCAGTTCCCACCTGGTAAAAAAGGGCTTCTCCCATGTTCCAAACATTTGTCACAGGCCAAAACAGAGGTAAAGCCCCAAGAGATTTCTCCCATCCTCCCATTGTCTGCACCAGCTGAGCAGGCTAGTACAGGAAGGCTGGGTAGGGGGACTTCAGCAAGAGACTTTGTGTCTGAAGGCCAAATGCTTAATTCAGCAAAAATTAACAGCAAGGAGATAACACTGTGACAATGCTATAGTTGAAGGAATAGTAAGTAGAGTGCGATAACAAAAAAACCCCCACCAAAATCCCCCAACTTTATTAAGGGAAGGCTGGAAGCCACTGGAGACAGAGAATGAGAATACATAAGACTCTGTGTCCAGAAGAGAGAGAGGATGGCGTGGAGGATGGAATAAGAGAGGATGGTATGAGAAAAATATCAGAAGTTGTCTCTGTCCTTGCAAAATGTAAAACATTGTTGAGCAGTGGTCAACATCAGATATATCACCTCATATGTCTGTGGTCTTTGTGCACAACTGTCATAGTAGATGCTTAGCCTGTAATCAGTTATGAAGCAAATCGAATAAGGTGCTCTGTGAGAACACAAGACAAATTCCTTATTTTCTATACTATCCAGCAATCCCTTAACACTGTTCTTTAATGTTTTATTGATAAAAGTTTTGTAACAGTTCACATCTCTTTTTGCTTTTTCTAATTCCTCCCATCTCTTCTTTAGAGGTCCAGTGGAAAGACTTGTTGGCCTGTTCTTCACTGGCTTGTGGGACAGCACTTCCAATTTGGCAATGGATCAGAAGGACTGAAGAGCACTTTGGCTCCCACCAATGTTTCTTAGAGCTGCTAAAACAGGACCAATGAAGATGTTCACCAGACTCCAAGTCCTTGCGCTAGCTTTATTTTCGAAAGGAGTGTTCCTTTCTCTAAGCGACCACAGCTTTGTACGGAAGGAAATTAAGATAGAAGGAGACCTGGTCTTAGGTGGCTTATTCCCAATCAACGAAAAAGGCACTGGGATAGAAGAATGTGGGAGAATCAATGAAGACAGAGGCATCCAGCGCTTGGAGGCGATGTTGTTTGCCATTGATGAAATCAACAGAGACAACTACTTACTGCCAGGAATTAAGCTTGGAGTTCACATCTTGGACACATGTTCCAGGGATACGTATGCCTTAGAACAGTCTTTGGAGTTCGTCAGGGCATCTTTGACTAAAGTGGATGAAACAGAGTATATGTGCCCTGATGGCTCATATGCCATTCAAGAGAATTTACCATTACTCATTGCAGGAGTCATAGGCGGTTCCTATAGCAGTGTCTCCATACAGGTAAGTCATGGGAGACCCATCAGGTGAGAATCATTCATCTGCAATTCCTGTGAAAGAACCACTGCTTCCATAAGTTTATCGATAAAGCAAGTCTTAGTTCGATCACTTTACCCTAGGGGTCAATCTAGTATCTAATTTTTATTGAATTTGTATTAGTTTGATTCACCCTTTAAAACACTTGTTGTAGTTTAAAACTCTGGCAGCTATCCACTTCCTCTGTGGTGTATCCTGAGGGCATCTGAAGTTTCCAGAAGTCTTAGCATTTATTTTAAACTTTGAATTTCATGACACTTTTGCAACTCTAAGTTCAGGTCTCTGCTTTCACACCAGTTATAATTATACCACCTATATTTCTGAATATATGTCATGCCTGCCATGCTGCATGTACATAACATTTGTCATTTAAACAATAGAGATTTAAAATGAAAGAACAAATCCTTATCTCACTTCCAGGCTAAAATAAAGTAAGAATGGCATACTAGCCAGAAACTTAAATTACACCTGACCAAATAATTGCAAGTTTTTAGTGCCTAATTAAGCTCACAGAGGCCAATGAAAATTATTCTGCTGACTTCAGTGAGCGAAGTCTCAAATATTCCACGCAGCCAGTAAAATTTCTGAATAGATTCTAAATTTGCCGTCTTTCCTTTTGTTTCCTGATATAGTACATACTAATACGTTTTTTTGCCAGGAAATGTCTCCAGGCAGAATGCAGTGTAATCACTGCTACAAGTCCAGCACAGAAGATAGATGCCCTCAGTATATCTTGCTCCCTCCTTCAGGCATATTGTAACTGCAGTTTTGGTTTTACAATATTGGTCCCAAATAGGTTCTCGGTAGGGTGTTGGAGAGTATTTAATGGCTTGCAAAGGTGTGAAGTTGCAGGTGGGTTAAATGCTCCATATATCCTTCCAACTATGGTTTTATTGCATGCTTGGTTTCATTTGGAAGGGGCTAAACAAATTGCTGATTGCTTTTGGTCTTGGTTTACCATTTTTTATAAATTAGTGATAAAACTTTAAATCCTTGGCATTTTTTTTCCATTAAATGAACATGAAGAACATATATCCCCTCTTTTTTAGCATAAATTCTGTATTTCTCCTCTTCAGAGTAGTTACTTCTATGTCAGCGCAGCCTCGGATGTCCTGAAGTTCTCTACCACTGCCAGTGGGCACTACCCACGAGAAAAAATGCCCCCTAGCTTCACTGAAGCTGCCAAATCTACATATATCTCATTGGTTTGGGTTAAATTTAATAAGCCAGTCCACATCACTCATAATCACAAGCGAGTGGTGTCTTAAACCCAGATTCAGGTGGGCTGAGACCCTGCATCTAGTATTTCCTAATGGTCAGCTGTAGGTTTCCAAAGGCACCAAGCCTTGACAGTGCTCGACATGATTGAAGCAGGCCACTGGACTACTATGAGCAATATGATTTTTCCAGACTGAGTACAGGTGCTAATCACTGCATCAGTGTCAAAGGAGAAAAATGTTCCATCCCAGCAGTGACAGAAGTGTTCCATCCCAGCTTCATTTACCTGTTTCATAAACAGGCCAAGAGTTCATCCAATGCTCATTTCAGTCACAATTGCATCAGGGAACTGGCTCCTGCTCTTGTCAAGGCATTAAATCCCATCAGCTTGGGAGCAAGGCCACTTTCCATCAGAAGTGCATGAGCACAAATTTCAACAAATTAGATTTTATTCCCTTTCATGTTCCAGTGTGTGACTTGCCTGTGTAGTCATAGTAGGAAATACGTGGCCAAATGGTTACCCATGCCACAGAAGAATAGTTTCTGCAGAGCAAACCTGAGTCATCTCGTACTAGGAGGGTTTTGTCCCACTGTAGGCCAGCTAGCACGGCAGGGATGTGTCCTTCACCAGGAAGGGTCTGATCACTTGGAGCACAAAGAACAAGTAAGTTCCAGGGCTGGAAATGAGACATCTGAAGAGGAGAAACGATAGCTACAAAACCCTGGGCAATGCAAACTGTTAAGGAAATCATTATTCATTGTCTCTTCCAATCAGACAAAGGGTACATCAAGTGAAACAAGTAAATGGCAGGTTGTTGTGGATGCTAAAAACTAAATGAGTTCAAGAAATTACTAGAAAAAATCAGGAAATTCTGTATGGATACCACCTCTGCCTCAGCAATTCCCAGAGCTGCAAGTATTTCAAGGCTGGTAAAATATTTTGAAACATCATATGCTTGCCCTATGCCACTGGTGGAGAGGTGGCAGTGGTTTTGCTGTACCTTTGGTCTAGTCATTTGTGGTCAGTCTGTTTCTCAGTCCAAAGGACATGTAGTAGCTTAAAAGGCACATTCATGAAAGTAGTTACAGCTGCGGAAATGGTACAGATATTTCCGTCCCTCCCAGAAAGGTAGGCAGGCATGTCACACATTTTGGTGCCACACTAGAAGAAGAGACTACCAAATTTCAGAGACAGTCACCTGTACAGAGTAGCTCCAGTAGCAAGTGGAATTGCACCGCTGCTGAACGCCAAACCACTTCAGCAGACGCATGTGCAAGGCTGAGCATCCCCATTCCCTGCGCCTTCGGACAGCACTCAGGGTGCTGGGTGCTTCCAGATGTAGCCCTGCCAAGCATTTCTCTTTTGCCTGAGAGCTGTAAACATCATAAAGTCCACAGTGCGGTTTCTTAGTCTTAAAATAAACCAAGCTGAGCTCTTCAGACAAGAAATTATTTCTGCTTTTTTTTTTTTTCCTCCTGTGAATTTGCCGTTGTATTTCAATACCTTTTATTCTCCTTTTTTCACTCTCCCTTTCCAGATTTTTGTCTGGACAGCTGTCTGCCAAATCACATCATGATGCTCCTGCTGTCAGATTTCTGCTTCTTTCATTATCCTTTCACCAAGGAAAAAAGAATTTGCTGGTAAATCAGCAATGAACACCTTCCCCACTGAGTCAGTATGCACGATAGGCACTTTTTGCAGAGACTAAAAACAACAAGAGAATGCAGAATGCTTAATTATTTTCTGGTCAGACTAGGCTATTATCGTTAATGATGATCTGGATAATTAGGTTTTAGATGTTGTGTTTAAATTAGCAGTGAGCCCAATCTGCACAGCATTTGATCCCTCAAAACCCAAGCCAGGATTCTCAGTCAGCAGAACAGCTCATGTAAAAAAAGCTGTTTTCATGAAATAAAATTCTGACCTGAGCTTAATCTAGGATCAGAAGATGAATTCTCCAAACTTTCAGGGATTTTATTTTGGATTCATGGCTTTTCAATTGAGCCAGATTATCTACTCTTTCCTAGTTTACAACAGAAATTTCAAACATGTTTTCCTTGGAGGTGTTCAATGACATTGTAAAAAGGATAAGAATAAAGCATTTTTCATTTGCACAGAGGAGCACTTGCATAGGTAATCCAAATGCCATGTTTGAAGTACTCAGGTCGGCTCTGTCAGGAATATGCACGTGTAAGCAGGAATACAACTATTCAAGTGCTGGCTTTGTTCTTCTCTGTTTCGGAAAACTGGACCAATCTTCTGAAGAGTGGGGTCCATTCCCTGCAGTCAGGTCTCTTAGAAACATTAAGATATTCCCTTAGATGGGCCGGGCTTTGCATTTCCATATCCACTATATGCATGTTGATATAGGGCTTTAGCCCTGTGTAAAGTTTCCTTTATGCTACCAACCCACAAGACCTCCAGATCACGGTCATGAAAGTTATTCACAAGTTAGAGCCTCATTCAGAAAAAACGGCAGAATAGAAACCACTACCCAGCTGTCTTCTCTTGAACTCCTTGTTGTGTCTCAAGTAAACTGCAGCAAAACCACTGGAGAAGATTTAAAGGTACATTACTGCTATGACAAAAGCTAACGCCTCTCTCCTAAGTGAGTGACCATCTGGCATGAAATTCAGAATATGTACTCATTTGCTGGCAGTCTTTCCTGGGCTGTCGTTTTTCCTTAGCCACACAAGTCTGCCAAGGGCTCATGGAACCTGAAAAATAATCAATCACCTCCAATTTCCTTCTTCCAAGGATAAACCATCTTTCAACCAATGAATCTTAACACCAGCTTGTGACTTCCATAACCACTGAAAATAGTGCAAAATCCTTACAAGAATTACATGCAAAAAAAAAAAAAAAAAAATTCCCCATAACATGGGGCTCTGTCCCCCTGTGCATGGACCCAGTGGGGATACAGGCAGGAGACACGTGTGGGGGGCTGCAGGGCTTCATCGGGGACCACAGAGCACATATACCATTTGTGCTGTGCTTGTAGAGGAGCTTTGCATTCAACTGTGCAACAACAGCCTCTGGTGATTTTGTGGTTGTAAAATTAAACCAGATCCTTATTAAAAGATCTGTTCTTCGAGCTGGGCCATCTATCGCTAGCATTTAAGCCACACATGCACTCGATGATTTCCTGGTGCCTCCTTTAAATTCTTTCCCTCTTTCATCTCTGTTCTTTCTCTCCCTCCGCTACCTCTCAGCCGGATTCTTGCTGGTTTTTCCTCTTTTTGTTTCTATTCCACACTCAGAAACTGAACAGCCACTAGGTTGAGATTTTCAAAGTGCCCAAACAGCACTGGACGTGTCTTTCCTAGAGATTTCAAAGAAATGTGCATACCTCCCTCTGGCTGGCTTCTTTGAAAATCCCAAGGTAACTGATTCCTTTGCAGGGTTTTTTTGTTTGGGATTTTTTTTTTTTTTTTTCCCCACTGTAAGCATTTTCTCTTTTTGCCAAAGGGAGATTATATGATTTTACAGGGATGGGTAAATAATCCGTGAGATCACAGGTAAGAAGGAAGGAGCCCTACCGTGTTACAAGTGGGAAAGGATGTAACTGCAAGAGAAAGTGGCCAAGAATAGGAACTAGTTAGGGACATCTTGACATCACCCATGTTCATTCTGTCCCTTCTGACTAGGACTTATGCAGCAGTTAATGAATCTCAAATAACCACATTTATCAATGATAACTCTTTTAATTCCAGAGGCTATTTCATGCTTTTGGAATCATCAACCCCAG